GCATTACAATTACATAAAATCATATGGTTTACAAGTGGCACAACTAGCTAATTCCAAAATGAGTGAATATCAGTGGAATTAGAATTTTTTAATACAATTTTGACATAAGACTGTTGCTTACCAAAACAAAAATGAAACATCTTGAAACTGAATGAAACACAATTTGACACAAATATGTGATGCAATTTAAAAAAACACTGACGTGAACTTGACACTTTCACTGAAAGTTTTTTGTATTTACAATCAGATCATTCTTAGTACTGTAATATAAAAATCAGGAAACATGGAGTACATTAAAAAGTCTACCTAAAAAATGACAGTTTGATATAGTTTTTCACACTGAATGAAAAAAAAAAGAAAGAAAGAAACTGAAAATAATTAAATGTATGGCAAAGAGGACAACTAGTAAAATCTCAAACTGGGTTAATATCAAACCAAAAAAAACAAATAAACATAATACAAATCAAATACCAGGTTTCATTTTACTATCACACAGCTGAAAATCAAGCTTAAAAACATCAGCATCTAGATGTTTAGCGCACATGAGGTACTCAAGTTGTGGCTGTTCAAAGCGGCATATTGTCAGGAGATAGGCAGAAAATATCACATCCACTCAGGTAAACAGGCAGAAAAACTGGTTTAAGACAGATATAATATGCAGACGACATGTGATTTTTTTTTGTTTGTTTAAAAAGACAACTCATGCTAAAATTGATAAGCAAGGGAAGGGTTTTTTGAAAGAAGAGAAAATGTCAAGTAAAACTAAGCCATCCAACTGAAGCTTAGTCTACAAAATTGAAACCACACAAAGTATTATAATTAAGTTCTATGTGGGTTATCCTACTTATTTTTAAATTTGAAAAATTTCCACTGATTCAAGGTCTTTCCACATCATAAGTTTTATCTCGAGGTTTCTATCTTTATTGCCCTGTTTTGAATAAAAGAGAATGACGGCTTAATGCCCTGCCTTTGTTTAAGAGAATCACTACACCCATGCTTGATACAGCCAATTAATTAACACAGTCCATACAATTTGCCATATTTCTTCTGTCTTAAGCAACACATGCTTAAATCTCAAACTTCCAGTAGGAAGCTAGCTTGTAAAAACCAGTCAAGTCCCCAGTTGCATAATTAAATAGGCCACTCAAAACAGAACACTAGAGAAGGACCACTAAAGACAGAATGTCCTAAGTGAAAAGATCCTAAATATCAGTGGATTCAGTCTTATATCAATACATCTACAAGACAAACAATAAAACTGGTCAGAAACTTGTCAATTAATTGACATGCAACATTTTAAGAAGTTATCTATATACAAGGCAACACAACATAGATTATAAAGATAATGAAATATAATCGTACATCAAATCACTCACATATAAAAATAACTAAAATGACACTTTATCACTGAAGACAACATACACACAATGAAATTATCTTCTTAATCTAGTTAGAAGTCAGAAAATAATACAGAGTTGTCTAAATTTTCAACAGGGCCTAGTTTCACAACAGAACAGATTTATCAGAATTGAATTTTGTTCTTAGGGTACATTCCCAATGAAATCATTCTCTGTAGAACAATACAACTCTGCAGAGACTCTTGCAACCACAACCAGATTAACATGCCTCCTCTTGGCATTCAGTAGAATACATAGGACCTAGTGATAATACAAGTACATTGGAAACAAGAGGGCGAGTGTAAATCTGTTATTCTGATTGCATTCAGCGTGAGTCCCCATGGAGCTGGATCTATTAATGTAAAATAACATGTTCATTGGGAATGAGCCCTCAATAGCACAGACCAATTTTCTGAGTAAAATTCTTTGATGAAATCAGGCCCCGAGTTCTAAAGGCCTAAGAGAGCATTCACAACCAAGTTGATCTTCAGACTTAGTAGTCCGCGTATCAAATATGGCATGCCCTTCAAAATGAATTCCCGCCTCCCATGCACACTGTCCCAGCAGGGGCAACACAATTAAATCTCGGCATGCTTTAAAGTGGGTGGCACCATATTTGAACTGCAGATCAGTTAGTCCATGGATCAAATTGTTCTGAATGTGCCCTTCAAAGATAGATGTTCAAAGTTCTACACAGTGACAACAGCACACTCACCCTGTTAAGTAGCCGTCTATCTAAGACTAGCATCCTGTGAGCAGCAGGGAACAAGCAAACTGGACATTAACTCATGAGATTTTTAAACTAAGGTAATGACTAAATCTTTTCAATGAGGAAAAATATAAATTATTTAGATAAATAAGTTTAGAATCATTAAAATATATTTCTGTGTAGTATTTGTGATGCTTTGGCTGTATAGAATAGACTCAAAAGGTGCCCTGCCTTTCAGTTTTGTTGCTAGCACTCAATAGGTATGTCCTAACTTCAAGAATTTATATACAGTATCTGTTAAATTCACAATTTTCGCCATAAAAAAGACTGAGTCATTACGGTACATATGTCAGTTCACTATAGGTCTAAGTTAAACTGGAAATAACCTCAGTTATGTCAATGGTTGTGGTGTGCTGTTACAGGTCTTCAACCATCATGTTAAATCACTCTTGGGAACAAAATATACATAATAAACTGGCCCCATTCCAAATGCTGGTAAAAATTTGTGAATATATTTAGCAATTGGTCCATATTTCTGCTTTGAGAAAGTAAAGAAGACCCTGGGGTCCCAAGGGTCAGGTGGACAAAATGTTTTAGGCACAGACTGTTAAGTGTTGTGGTGTGATCCGGACCCTCTGTTTGCTGTAATATATGGTTGTCTGGTGACATCACTCAGACCAAACCAGTTTGGGACAGACCAGATATGAACTGGCTTTAAGACTAATCTGATATAAGTGAAATCGGTCTTCCATGGTCTGTAGTGTAATGGTGGTAAAAAAAGGAAATTATTTCTGAATAAACTAAGCATGAATTCTCAAAGGTAGAAAACATGTTTAGTCTCTTTAACAATAATTTACTTTCAACCCGTAAATACTTAAGACTCATAGTAGCAAATAAGAATTGTTAATACAGCATAAAGCAGCAATTTTTTCAGTTTCTTCTTTAATCAATAGCTAATATTGAAAACAATGTTTACGTCCAATATTTGGTTATCTGTGTGGAACACACTCTTCAGGGACTGGTGCTATCTAGGTGAACAATCTACATTTTAATATTAAAACTGTTCACTGAAGAATTACATATATATAACTGCTTTACTTTAAGTGCACAGCACAGTTGATAAAATTCCTTTCTGACAAACAACTAAGGTTGCATATCACAGTTCATCAATGTATTTTCACGTTCTTTAAGTCAAAGAATGAGCGTAAGACTTTTGTATACAAAAACAATGCTGTGCCATCCTGTTGACGGGACATATGGTGCCACATTGTGTTAGATGAGACAGCTGATGTGAAAATGTGTTAGGTGAGATGGTATTGTGGAACTAATTGTGCTAGGTAAGAAAATTGTGTTAGATGTGATCTTGTGATGGTTATATTGGTTTTTCATTGTGCTACATGAGATGGCTGGTGTTGAACGGTGACAAGTGAGAGCTTGTTAAAGCTATGAATCTATTGTGCAAAGTGGGACACATGTTCTTATATGTGTTAGGTTGACAATTGGCAATTCTAGCTAGGTGAACAATTGGCAGTTCAATATCATGTGGTATCAGGTGAAACTTGGGAGCATTTACAGTGTGTCATTAAATTGATGGAATAAAGAAGCAGGTAGAATTAAGGACAAATAGGTCAATCATTCTCTCTTATGTAATGATGATAAAAACATTTTTCTAAAGAGACTAAATATGTTTTTCTAAGTCACCCATGTGATCAAGTCATTTTTATGAAGGGTTGAAATATTATGCAACATACTTAGAAAAGCAAGTTTAATCTCTTTAAAATGATCTTATTTTTTATAATGTAGTAGTGCTGGTGTGATACGATTTACTGACATCTAATGGCAAAAAAAAGTCTCAATCAAAACCACTTCTATTTCGCTAAACTTCTTGAAAGTAACTGCTGCTTATTAAGCCTTCACTTCAAATGGACTGCTTTAAAAGTCATACAGTGAGAACAGTTGTTTTTCTTTAGTATTGCTTTGAATATTGTTCTCAAATCCCCCTTCCCTCCCTTTCTGCCCTCTCTCTTATTCATGTTGTATATATACTGTATGATTTGTAAGCTCTATCAAAACAATAACAAAAATCAAATGCAAAGAATAAGCATCATGGATTGCTGCATAAAACCTCAGTCTTCACTACCGAGACTTAGAACTCTCCTCAGCTTTTTCTGCATAAAGAAGCATATGAAAACAATCTATATACCACTCTTGGGTCTATGCTATAAAACATTGCATATATCCAGTGCATCACATATACAAGATATCATATACCTGCAATATATGTTCCTGTGCTCATCACAAAGACAGCAGTGTATATGCAATTTCACATAGTATACACTAGAGCAGTATATGATGCACATACATATATGCCATGTATTCAAGATCGGATGTGTTAAGACACGCACTTAAGAGTCAATCAGTTTAGGTCCAAAATTTGTCACCAAACTAAATTGGATTAACTGGTGATTTAGTAGTCGGCAGTGGGAAATCACACTTGGCCAGGAATGGCCAAGTGCATGAACCCACAGCATCTGAAATGATCAAATCGCCAGGAAAACATTTTGGCTACCAAATTACAAATTTAAGACCTAAAACCATTAGAGTTTGAGTCAAAAGTCCCATTCCCATGATCCTATCGTACTAGCTGGATTGATGTAACTCCTCGGGGATTCTTGCTAAATTGCATTCAGTTTAAGCAGCTTAAATGTCTGGCATGCCCCCTCTTAACTCAAAGTACTTGGGTAAAGTCAGGAAAACTTTGTGATCCATGAAGTTGTTCATGTTGCTTTGCGAGGGGGGCGTGCCAGACAATTAACCTGATTACATTGACTGCGCCTTAACGAGAATCCCCGTTGAGATAGACCAATCCTGTTAGTACGATAAGGTTACGGGATCGCAGTCTAAGTCTAAATGCACCTAAAGTGTAGGTGGCACACTAAGCTGAGTGTATCTATATCTATACCTGTCATAGTAGGGCCACCTGTTATAGCTGGCAGGGGGAATAAAAAGTGCAAACATTACTGTGCATGCTATTAATATACTGGGCTCATACCAGGGGCAGTTTTCATTTTGTTTTAACCAAACTGGAAAATAAAAGCGCATTCAGAACAGCGGACTAACATATCCGCAGATCAAATATGGCAACCCACTAAAAAGCTTGCCGCTTCATTAACAAATGTAATAATTAGACACTGAATAGATTCCCTGTGAGGATTAGGCAACAAGCATTCAAATAGGTCGACCATACTTGATTTGCTGTTCTGAATGTGCTCTGCTGTATCAATTTCTATCTACCAAACCAATAAGTAATGAAATTTTCCAATGAGTATAAACATATATCATATTGAAATATCTTCTTTTTTTTTTGGTAAAGCCAAACATAATGCTAAGGTTCCTATTAGTATGAACCCATTATGGAAAATTTACTAGCTTATATGCGAAGTCTTCACATTCAAGACCTTGGATATCTTTTATGATAAATAACAGAATGCATGGAACATCATTTTATACAATCAAGTCAAAATAACAAAATGATATCATACTGCACTAGATGCAAAGTCCAAGGCAGAATATGTTATTTCATATACAAAATATTTATGCACTTGTTTATATAAGTTTATTATGAAGAGGATATGTGACCTTTTTGTGGTCTCTTATGACTGAGTGTAAAAGGTAGATGGAAATTGTACAATCTAGCTTTTTTCCTTTTCAAATTGTGCCATTTGGGAATGAAATTAGGAATGAAATTTCACAACAGAACAGGGATGATTTAAATTAGTAAATTTCCCTCTATTTGGTAGAAAGTGTGAGTTTGTGCATTATCCTTCGTCACGAAAAATGTGATTTTTTTTTTCAACTACATGACAGCACAAGCTAGTGAATTCACTCTTCATTTTTGTCCATATATTCAAAATATTCAATATCAACTACTATGTTACCAAATATTAAATGGATTGCTATAGGTGTGACGGTGAAATCTCAACACATTGTGTAAAGGCTATGTCCCAGTGTATTGTGTTAGTTGTGACAATGGTTGCGACACCAGCACAATCAACTCACCCTTGGGCCTCCATTGGCGTGACCTTCCTCTTTCTTTGATAATGGCTCCTGCAGTTAAAAAAAAACACATTGAGCCTTAAAAACTAATGCGAATAAAGAAGCAAAGTTTCTATTTTCCATTTTTGCAGAAACCAAAAGTTTTTGAAAAATATTCCATGCCACCAAAATATTGAATTATTCCAAGTCCTCATAAGAGACTTTGCTCTATTATAACCACTTCATATTTTTCTCTTTCTTAACTAATGATAAATGCCTGAAACACATTTGTATCTGTACCCCTTGATTTTTTCTTTTCTTTAAAATTCTCACCTAAATCTTTGTTGTATCATCACCCCTTCGTTTTTGCTCTTCTTTAAGCGTTCCTGCTCTTTGTAGGCCCTGTACTGGTTTTGAATCAGCAATGCTGCCTCTCGTGTCTTCTTGAACCTTTTCTGAGCCGCGTAGCTGCGGAACTGAGACTGAATGAGGACGGCAGCCGAGGACATCTTTCTGGTGTACACATACTGCAGAAAGGAACATAACATGAGATCATGAATGAGGATCAGGAATGAGGATCAAGAATGAGGAGCACAACATGAGATATGTTGAGGACATCATTCTGGTGTACTAATACTGAAGAAAGGAACACAACATGAAATCAAAAATGAGGAGCAAATAATGAGATGAAAAAAATAAGGATAAGGCATAAGGATTAGAAGTGAGGAACACGAGATCAGGGATGAGGATTAGGAATGAGGATCAGAACTGAAGAGCACAACAACATGAGATATTGACCGAAATATTCATTTTGACAGAGGCAAAGAATATGAGATTAGAAATTAACTCCGATTGTAAAATGAGGAAACTTCTAAATGGCATATAGGATGGCTTTATAATGGTCATTTCAAAAGTGTGTTTCTCTATATTTAAGGTTCATATGCACACCACTTGAAGTCAGAGTTATAACATGATAATAAATGAAAGTTCTGACCTGTTTGTATCTCCTGTAGTAATTCTGGATCAAGATGGCTGCCTCTATCTGCCTCTGTCTTTGCAGCTGCTGATTTCTCTTGTCACGGAACTTTTTGTATGCACTCTGAATAACCTTAGCTGCCTCATAAAGACGTCTCTGCTCTTCATCTAAAAGACAAAACATGATCAATTTGAAAAATAATGCTATAAATTTCAAATGCTTCTCTTTTCAAAGCACTTTTTTTTCAAATCTTTATTCTTTACTAATACTTCTTTTCTTTTTCAGTTGGCAAAGAATGATGTGCTACATCCATATTTACCCTATAGCAGCATATCAAGTGCCTTTCTCAGAGATTTGGGTGTTTATTAGCAGTACAAAAAGAAAATCATTAGCCTGCTTAAATAATAATATAATTAAGAAGAAGAAGAAGAATCAAAATCATAATTATTTCAAAAATATTCATTTTGACTCTGTGCCATACCTGAAAGAGTGAGCTGTGAGAAATCTCTCTCCATGAAGATGGCGGGTGCGTTGAAGTACTCGGTGAAGTCCTGAGTGGTAGGTGGCGGAGAGTCCAGGGTGAAACTGTAAGGACTGTGAAGACATGATGATTCCGGACTGTTCACGGAACTTGGTGGTGTCCCCAGGTTAGGGTATCTGTGAAATAATAACATAATAAATATAAATAATTATAAATGAATAGACAAATTTTCAAAAAGATAATGATGAATCTCTCTCTCTCTAGTGCCATGGTTGATACAAATCTCAGTGACTTATAATACCAGTTTCAGACTCCAATTCCTTGCTGCGCCCCATCTCTAGAATTACATTATATTGTCTAGTTTCCCCTGCTTCAATAAATAAAATAAAAAAATATTAAAAAGTAAATATTATAAATAAATACTGTGCTAAATTTCTAAATAATAAATAAAAAAAAAAACAAAAGCAAATGAATAGATGTTTGATTATGTAGCCTTATTTTCCTGATGAAGGCATTTTGGTAGATAATGAAATATTTGTGTAGCAACAACTCTTGTGTTAAGATGTCGTTGGAAGAAACTACCATTACTTTGGAAACCTCACCTAGATTCATCCAGCGCAAATGGATCACCCATCGGCGTAGATATCCCAGAATCCTCTGTGCATGCTGGGTTTGTCGAGCCGTAGGAACTAAAGGAGCTGTAGGAGCTGCTGCGTTCTCGTGGCAGTGTGAAGGACGAGTCATCTGCGCGACTTGGAGACAGTTTGATTCGCTCAGGCATGGCAGCAATGATTTGATTGGCTAATGTGACCATCTGGCGCTGAGATTGAAACTCTCCTGATGATAAGAAAATAACAGATTAGTATGATATCTAATTCAATTGAAACAAAGTTCATCAATCGCAATTTTCTCAATGGTTTTGGACATGGTATACAGTAAAAGACAACTAGTGGATCCTGTGGCCTGAGAGTTAAAACAAAGCAATTCACCTGTAGAATGTGACTGTCCCTCGTCATCCGATGACACTGCCTCCACATCAATGATAGGGCTGTCGCTGCCTGAGAAGTTCTCTGAAAATATATAACCATTCCAAATTTTGAAAGCAATCAACAATAGGACCATGCTTTCATTTAAAGTTTTCATGAATTGGTAACTTAAAAGTCAATTTGTTTGGGTTAGAGAAGATTTACATACATTTAAAATTTTGTCGATCAAGAATTGTTTTCATTATTGAAACTATTATAGACTTGAAGTTTGGTCTAAACTTTAAAATCAACATTTTTTGGCTCCTTTGACCCAAAAGCACTCAGTAATAGCCCAACTGAGTAAAACATTGCATTTTTTTAGACCAACATTCACTCTATTTTGATGGACTTCAATGCAATTTCATCCTGAACTGACACAATTTGAAACCAATATTTAAGTCTAAAAGTTCAGATCAAGTTTCAGACTTAAATTGTTTTTGTCAAACTGCTCCAAAAACAATATAAATAAATAAACAAAATAAAATAAATAAATAAATAAAATAAACAATGATTATTAAAAACAAATAACTAAATAAAAAATCGACAAAAGAAAGAAAGAAAGAAACATCACTCACCAGCCTCCATGGTGACCACCTCTCCCCCCATGGCAGAGGGCAGACGTCGCAGATCTCGGAAATCCAGCGTGTCTCGATGGCAGCCAAAGGGGAGGTCTCCTCCGAGCGAGGCCGCCATGTCTGTGGGCTCCAGGGGTGTCATGTCCAGACTCATAAGGTCAGACGTGAATGTGTTGAGGTCAGAGTTGATATGAGGGTCAGAGTTCGCTGACCGAATCACGTGGAACTCCGGCTGCCCACTGGCTGCAGAGTCGGACATTGGTCGGGAGAAATACTGACTGCTGTCGACGGAGAATCTCTTTTTCAGCTGGGCTCTCCTCTTGCTCCGTCGCTCAGCAGCTGTGACAGACTTAGGCGTCGAAGTGCCGGGAATCTCAATTTGCAGTGCCCCCGTGTTGCAACCACCAGCGTTGCTGCCATGGTTACAGACAGAGGTCAAAGGTGAGTTTGAGGTCAGAGGTAAGGTAGAGGTCACCGGGGTGCTGGGGGATGTGACACTGAGGAATGGACATGGGTTGGTCTGGGGGAGGGGGGATCGCGGGAGGACCACGCTGCCCGCTGCTTTCTCCAACATCTCAATCTGGCTGACCAGTGAGAGGTGACCCTGGCTGGAGGCCGCTGAGAGAGGCAAGAGGCCGTCACGATTGCACACTTCAATACCAGAGCGGTTCCAGTGGTACAGCACCAAAGCAGCGTCTGTCTTGCCTAGGGCACACGCCCAAAGCTGAAAAGGAGACATTACACAGTCAGTGATATATGTGATTGAAAAGTGTGTGTGTGTGTGTGTGTGAGAGAGAGAGAGAGAGAGAGAGAGAGAGAGAGAGAGTCAAGTCTATGGATTATTTGTCATCTTGGATATTACTATGAAATATGATTCCCATTGCCTCCTGCAGAGTGATGGTAGAAAAGTAGCATATAAAGAGACAACATTGTTTTTCATCTACATCCTACTCTCTAGGGTTTACATCAAGAAATCTACTTTGTGATCAAGGCCATGTGATGAAGGGTCTAAACAATATGCCTAATTGGTAAATCAAGTACAGTCTCTTTAGCAATGGGTTTACTTTATCTTTTTACTTTACTATTTTTTACATATCAGTTGCTCTAATGATGTTAAATAAAGACCCATAGTTAGTTTAGTTTCACATTGCAGTTCATCATATTATTTTTGCCTGGTATGTTGATATCTTTGAAAGAATATTCTGGTTTCAGGGAAAAAGTAACGTAGCCATGGCTGCTTCTTATGGTAGAGCATTATCTTATTCAAAATTTTCTAGATATTTAAAGTGAAAATTGTATGTTCAGCATGACATACCAGTGGAGTAGACATCTGATCATCAAGAGACAGAGCATCCACTTCGTACTCCAACACAAGATTAGGATTCTCTGTCCTGAAACATTAGAGTTACAATGTTTTAACCACATGAAAGATCAGATTTTATTTCTTTATCAATAACAATCAAATACTTTAAAGTACAAACTTGTAAGATATTTTTAGGAAAAAAGTTAATAATTATATTAAAAAAATTGGCAAGGAGCATGGCTTTAATATTCATTGACTTCAAACCTGCCATCTGCTTAAAAGGACATAAGAAGATTTAATAAAAATGTACATTATTTCATAATAATAATAATAATAATAATAATAATAATAATAATAATTATAATAATAATAATAATAAAATGATAAATTCTGATGTGGTGCATTTCATAAAATCTCAATGTTCTAAAATAATTTATAACAACACTACGCTGATGCTATAAAATAAAACACAACATAATGAGTAAAATTCAATCAACCATTCCGAAAAAGTTTACTAGCCAAATGAACTGAAATACTGTCAACTTCTTCAAAACTATTTTCACCTACCTCCACTTGATAAGAGCATTGATAAGTTTGGCGTATCCCAGCGCAGCCGCCAGGTGTAACAAGGTCATGCCATGATAGGAGTTTTCTGTGGGTAAATGTCCTGACTGCACCCAGACCCTGCGACTTAGCTCCTCGCACTGGTGGATGACTTTGTGCTCAAAACTCTCCGTATGTCTTCCACGGGCACACTGAAATAATAATAATAATAATAATAATAATAATAATAATAATAATAATAATAATAATATCTCTGTCTACATCTACTGATCATTATGAATATAATAATTATCATGATAATAATTATATACAATGTGGTAAAGCAATAAGGAATTTGATAATATAAAAATAGAATTGATGTCATAACTTTATATAAATGTCCCAAATATTTTGAAGCCTTTGACCTCACAACAACAACAATAATAGTAATAATAAAATAATAATAATAATTATTATTATTGTTATTATTATAATTTATTTTTTATTTAGATTGGAACACAGTGGGTTGAAGTTGTACATAAAATGATTAGTCTAGAATATTTCAATATTAATAAAATGCTATAAGTTTGAATGAAACCAAGCCAAAAGACTGCTACTTGAACAGTCTAGGAATATTAGCACAAACTCTAACATCACAAGAAAGGAAAATTGGCCTTGTCCTTGACACCACTGGAATATTGGTTGTATATTTTTTGTGAAAAAAAAAGACTTTTCTATTGGTCACGAAGAAAGGACATACTGGATACTTGATACCACAAAGCTTAAGCACACTAGCAGCAATCTTGCTACCTGAGATCACATTACACTGCTATTAATGAGACAAGAACAAGTGCACTACCTGATAGAGCACACTCTTGGATGTTCCTTCTGGTGGTGGTGACAACCTTTTCTCAATGGCCTCCAGCCTCTGCAGCAGTGATAACTTCAACTGGGTCTCTGAAATATTCCATACACCTAATTTACATTAGAAATATTAGATACACTAATTTCTAAATATGGCAATGTTTTAAAATCTCATTTACAAACAAGTTATGTCTTTTCAACTTGTACAACAAGGCATCCAATACCTCATCAAAAATATCATAATATTTTGCATGTGGTGGTCATTTATAGATGGTTGTTACAGAAAAAATCTTATATGCATATGCTCCTAACATATTACAGTTGAAGATATAACTATGGATAACTAGTACAATTTAAATTAAATTCTGAAACATCACTCGGTGTTTATTAAGTTGACAAAAATGCTAGACAATATTTTAGAAGCTGTTTTATGAAATTTTTCAACCAGACTGAATATACTGACCACAAACCCTGGTCCACTCGGGTTGTCTTGTCTTGGCTGCTATGCCATCTTTTGTTTTGTACTCAAAGACTACAGAATTAGAGATAACAAATCCTTCACAGGCTACCTGCATAGTAACCAGGCCAGGGGAGTGAGCTGAAATTTTAACAGAAATTTCTAAGAATAATTAGTGGTTCAACACTGTGAATATTTTTGAATCGCAAATAACATGAACACAAATGCTTCATGAGAGAGTAAAGGTGAAGTTTTGAAGCGATAAAATGTGTGGTACTGAAAGGTAATGTATGCAATACATGTTAGACATTTATATGGTAAAAATCCTTGAAACTACTACACTTTTCCCTTTATCAATATGGTATACCCTATCCAAAACTGTTGAGAAAATCGAGATCCATAAACTCATTTTCAAGCTCTTAATGTCTAATTTTCAAAATGCACTTATGTGAGAGAAGACAAAAAACTTAAATTTCAGCTTGTTTCTGTACAATAAAGTACAATAGATTTTTGAACAACTATGTACAAAAAAAAAAAAAAAAAAAATGAATGAATAAAAACTTACGTGGACAGAAGCAGCGTAGAACCCCACTCTGCACCAGGGCTGCTGGCACCTGAACACCATCAAATGTGATGCTGTAAGGAGAGGTGGTGGAGTACCAGGGTCCGGTGACCAGAATCTTGGTGTTACCCTGAAATAAGTGTAAGACAATGACATTTCTGCAGGCATAAATAAACCAAACATTTAAAGATGCTGTGACCAGAATCTCTGTGTTACTGTGACTACAAGTGGAAGACAATGACATTTTTTATTTTGTAAGCTTGACATCATGGAAAGTTATCATTTTTATCAAAAATATGAACAATAGTACTAAAAAGAACAACATTAATTCCAAATCAAATAAATTCTGTGGTGTATTGCATGAAATCTGAATGCTTCCGACCAAAGTTTTAAAATCCTGAGACTAGAAGAAAGCGAAATATAATGACTAAGAACATATAATATAATATAATATAATATAATATAATATAATATAATATAATATAATATAATATAATATAATATAATATAATATAATATAATATAATATAATATAATATAATATAATTGTACCTCAGAAAAAGCCCAGTCTGGTGCAAAGTCTGTGATGTTAGCTATGCCTTCTCTGGTCTCTGTCTTCACCTGGTGCTTCTGTTTATCCAGACAGCTGGCGCACGTGATCGTGCACGTCGTGTTGGTGGACACGCCCGCACTGGTGGAGCGCTGATCGAGATCCGACAACTCTAGCATGTCGAAGGCATCAAAATTAATGTCACCACTAGGGGGCGATGCCATCAGGTTACTTCCTGTGTCCATTGCATCGTGGGATGCAGAGCCCGCACTCGCGTTGTGGCCTAGAGGCAAGTTGGCAGTTAATGTCTTGTGAATCTCATCTGGTGAGAGGTCAAGGTTTTGGCCATAGTCCAGCTTTGGTCCAACACTGCTGGTGGACGAGGCGGTCAGTTTGCTGGACACCGAGGTCATGGCGGTCATCTCAGGTGGGAGGCGGCCATACTGAGTGTCCATTTTGACCACTCCCGGCTTGACCTGAGGTGGAGACGTTGCCATGGCAACCAGGTGAGGCTGCTGATGCTGTGTGGTAATGTCACAAGCATCCATCTTTTGTGTTTGTTGACTGCCGCTGACTGTTGTCATGACAACCTGCTGACCACCAGAGTTGTGACCAGTGGCCGAAGAGATCTGTGGATGACCAGAAGTTGAGGAACCCGTTTGTTCAGTGCTCTCTTTGTGCTTGTTCATTTGGTGTGGCGATATCACAGATCCATCGATGATAGATATCGGCGCCGAGCCGTTACCACTGAGAATAATTAAGCCATTGCTGGCTTGCAACTGAGACAGATTGAGTATCAGGGGCTGGGCCTGATCCCCGGGGGGTCTGAGGACCACACCCTTATTGTGCATGGCCAGGCTGACCCTCTGACCAGTAGGCAGAGTGGCCAGTTGCTGCGGGAAGAGTTTGTGAGTGACCGCAGCAGTGGCCAGGTGCTCCGATTTGGGCGAGATGATTCGACACTTGGTATGCGTGCACGTGTCCATGGAGGTGCAGCCTTGCTCGCACAGACATTCGTGTGTTTTGGCTGGGAGCGAAGGCTGGTGCTGCTGGGAGAGCATCTGCTGAACTATGGACTGTAGGGTCTCGTCAGACTGAAAATAGATGGTAGTGTTTTACATACTACATCTGCTTTTGGATAGTAATGGATACAATACAAGTCAAGAAGTTGTATTTGAAATAAATGAATGCGAAAAGTGATTAAATGTCAGATACACTTTCCTAAAGAATTGTAAAATTTCATCTGAATTATACCATCAATAAGTTTTATTACATTAAATGTGTATGAGAAAATGTTGGGGAACATTTTGGAGGCAGTAACATGACTTAATGACCAAAGAGGTCTGGCTCAATGAAATGCGGTAAATTATTCCAAACTGCTCTGAATCAGGCAAAATTAAAAAGATTTTTCTCTTACCAGAGTTTCTGTGTGGCCACTCTCTAAGTCTTTGGCAACAGCAACTGGAACCAACACCATAATATTGTTTAAAAATGTATGAAAACACTGAATTTTATCAACTTAAAGAAACTTGAAACTTTGAGCAGAAACTATTCACAACTAGAGGATCAGAGAGGCGATACCGCCTCCGGATATTGTACCACCACCTGGAGTAAGCGCATTCGAACCGCCAGCGCTAACGCTGGTGGTACAATAATTCAGGATTGACCAGATCCATACAGACAAAAGGAAAGCTCATTAATCACTAATTGTGGCAGGTATTTAGCTTTAAGCTTAGCTTTTACATCTTACTTTATTTTCTACTTCAACTGTAGGAAAAAAATCATCAACATTCAAGCCTGTTGCTAGGCAGCAAGGGGGGAGGGGGGGTTAGAAAGAACCCCCTTTTTGCTGGGAAAAGGTCCCCTCTGATTTAAATTTTATCTACGTAGACGTGAAAGGTACACGTTAAAAGGTCCACTTTTTTCAGAAAATGAACCACATTTTTGAAACTGCTGGCTACAGGCCTGACATTCCAAGGCACGTGTTACTTACACATTGGTTTCAGCTGAGTAATAAGTTCCTCCTTGCTCCATTCTTTCTTTTCGCAGTGGCTGAGACTGGGCATGCTCAGTTTGGCATCGTCAATGGACGGCACATTGAGATAGTGAACCAGAACAATGTCTGGGTTCTGGAGGAAAAATTATATTTTGGATAAAACAAGTTAACTTCTTTTTTTTTTTTTTTACAGTTCATCTTTGGTATAATTAACTGAAATTTCGAAAGTTGCTCATCTTCAATTTAAGCATAAGTAATGACAAACATTTCTTTTGTAGATTTATCTTTATTATTAGCTAATTTTCACAAACACTGCTAAGCTCAAATATATGCAGCTCTTCAGAACATACTATAATTTCTTGTATTCTATGATGTTGTTTGAAATTGTACCTGCAAGAGCCAGTAGCAGCGTCGGTGAAATGTTGACAACAAGGCTGAGTGGACATAGCATCCATAAATACACTAAAAAGAATACTCAATAATGTCATCAATGGTGTTATCAATTTGCAACTAAAATTTTGAAAATGTCTACTTATTTTAAAGTGCTTGCTCTTGAAACTGAAAATCAATTTTAATTTAATATTGTTCTGATTTAATTTTCAGTACAATAAAATTAATATTTTTGTCATACAAAATTAACCATAAAATTTACTATTAATTCAATTAAAAAACATACCTCCACTCCGCGCACTTTCAACTTCATGTGGTCTTCTCGCGTGGTTTTTCCATCTTTCCTCTTCTTCCAAGTGTAACCATCTTTTCTGTAACGTACCTTCTTTCTACTGTAGAGAAGCATGGAGCCACTGGCAGGCCTATGTCAGGGAGAAAATGATCATAAATTTATCGCAAAGCAACTACAGCAATAACTTTTCTTTTCAATGGGGGAAAATTGTGAATTTTACAGATAATGTATTTTTCATGCCATAATTTCTTAATATTACAAAATTCCTATTGAGTGGAAACAACAACAATAAAAGGCAGGCTACACTATAGTTAATTTCTATGCAGTAAAAGCACTACAAAAATGCTTTATAGAAATTCTGTGATTATAAAATTATATATCTGAAAGTTCATTCATCATTGAGAGCCTATTTCTCCTAAATAAAATGTTCGTCCTCCCCTTTCCCTCCAGAAAATAAGCATTTTGTCTATGCGTTTAGAATTTATTCTGTGTATATTATAAGGTTAACTCACCTCAGTCCCACTTCATTTTGCTGCCACTGAGCATGCTTGGAGAACGCAACCAGAATACTGGCAATTTCCTAGAACAGAACACATTTCAATAGCTGAGACGGACTAATGGTAAAAAATTAAGAAGACAATTTAACCTTTACTAGTCGCTTCATACTGAATTTTTGCAAACTATGATACAATTACAATAAATCAAGTCTTTGCTGGTTTTGGCTATGTTTTTGACTATCAAAATTAATTTTGTAAAAAGCGTGGAGTTTTTATCATAAAGTCATACTAAGTCATAATAAAAAGTATATAGTGTAGTCCACGGTGTGCTCACCTCATTGGTGTTCCATCGGTGTCTTTCTCGAGGCATCTCTAGCGCAGAAGGGAGATCATCTAAACCTTTAGGTAACATCAGACCAGACTTCACTTCTGGAAGAACACAGGATACAGCTGTGTTAAGTGAGTCAGCAGTGTGTTAGGTTAGACAAGATTGTGTTAGGTGAGCCATGAGTGTGTTAGATGAGACAAGATTGTGTTAGTTGAGACAGCAGTGTGTAAGGTGAGACAGCAGTGTGTAAGATGAGACAGCAGTGTGTTAGGTGAGACGAGTGTGTAAGGTGAGGTATGAATGTGTTAGGTGAGACAGCAGTGTGTTAGTTGAGAATGTGTTAGGTGAGGCGAGTATGTTAGGTGAGACAAGATTATGTAAATTGATAAGGCACTGTGTTAGGTGAGACACCACAACAGTATATGCAAGGAAGATGTGAATGAAAATACCAATTATAAGAACAAAAATATCAAACTTATTCAATATGAGAATTATCCAAAACAGTTGGTAATGGCATGACTTAATGGAAAATTGAGCAAGATTTTCTGGGATTAGGAGGAAAGAATGTCAAGCCCAAATTTTATCCAGAAATATGTTTCTAATCTTTTTCTTCCAAAACCTGTAAAATTGAAGACATCTGCAAAACAGGGCATTTTCACTACTTTTTGACTATTCTTCTATATTGCTTAATAAGATGGCATTGCCAGTGCACAGAGTTTTAGCCCTGATGTTAGAAGTTCGTCCCACATCACAAAATTTCTTTATCTGCAGTACTAACAACCTTTAAAAGCTATATTGGGAGGTTCCATTGTAGTGAAAATAAATAAATAAAAAAAATTCAGGAATTGGACATTAGTGTGTCTGTCAAATCAATGAGATAACACAGCACGCAGGCAATTGATTATATTATATGCTACAATATTTGCAGTTAATAATGCATCACTAATGACTCTGAAAGTAATTCATTATCGCAGTGAGAATAGGAAAAAATGCTGCCACAAATTAGACATCAACGCTTAACAAATGTCACGCCTCCAACAGAAATCAAATATTTAACAATCCATAGTGTTCTGTTTAGTGCTCCAATTCAAAATCCTAAAATATTCTCTCTGACTCATTACAGATGTATGAAATGGGACGCCCATGAAAATGAAATATTAAATCACACTGTTTTTAGTTCTGTTCCATGATTCATAATCTCTCACTTTTGTTTTTGTCATTTAACAGAAACATGGAAATATGATCACCGCTAATTGAGGAAAGCATGACAGCTGTATATCAAGACAACATATCACTGGGGTTTAATTTGGGCTTACATATAGCAACTGATTCAGCAACGAAAAATCATGCTTCAAAAGTATGGTTTGGTCCCTAAGAAACAATTAGCCATTTTTTCTATTACTATGTTATTTTATAAAGCAACTGGCAAAAAACTTCACAGCATAAACCAAGCCATTCATTGTTCTATCTGAGTTCAGTGTGAACATGTTTTGTTAGACTTTTAATGCAGCAAAAAGGCTCTTGGCCTGAACCAAAATATAGAGTAATCCATCTAAGTTCAATGTGAAAACATCTTGTGAAAGTTTTAATAAAGCAAGAAAGCTCCAGACTTGAGCCAAAATAAACAGTAATCCATCTAAGTTCAATGTGAATATGTCTTTTGAAAGTTTTAACCAAGCAAAGTGGCTCCAGGATTGAGACACAATATAGAGCAGTTATATATGTACTGTCTAAGGGTGTATTCCCAGAGATTTAGATCGATCCAGCTATTAAGATTTAGATCGACCTAACTCCCTGGGGGCTCACGCTAAATTGCAGTTAGCCGAGCACACCATAGTTAATTACCTCCTCACAGCTTTCAGTAGGTGGGACAGACGCTTAAGCCGGCTAAGCTGACAGTAATCTAGTGAGACTCCCCACAGGGATAGATCGATCTAAAATCTATGGAAATGGGGTCTAAGTGAACTCATCTTGTGTAAGTCTGAATGAAGCAAGATGGCTTTAGGACTGTAACAAAATATTGATCGGTCCATATGAGTCCAGTGTGACCACACCTGGTGACTGTAATAAGCTAGCAAAATGACAGGGGCGGAGGGACATACAGAACAGATGTTATCTGCTCCAAAGTCACGGGTTAAAAAACATGTCATTTTTTTCTTAACCATCTGTATTTTAAGTGCTTTACCCTTCATTTTATCAGCTTATGTGTGCCGTGACAGTTGTTATTACTGAACTTCCCTTTCCATATATTAATTTACTAGTAACCTTTTTTTTTAAATCTTCTTTGTAAATAAAACGACAAACCTGAATGTCATGGCTTAATCAAATTCCAGATTGAGGGAACATGGTTAGTGAGCAAAATGTCTATATTATAAATATTAGTTTATAGTTGAATGGTTCATTATCAAAAAAAATTAAAAATATGCTAGTACAGACATGACTATAAAGAAGGAAGAACATTGGGGAAAATTAAATATAAATAGTACATGCATAACAATGTTTTTGTTGGTAGGAGACTATATTCATCATAACATATTCACACTTAATAACTTTTATAATACTAAGACAAGAAGTAATTTGAACAATCTGTTTCATCACACCTCAACAAAAATTTTGATATAAAAATGAAAATGGAAAATAACAAGTGCACTGACAAAATGATTTTTTTTAGCTTGAAACACACATGTACATGATGACACTAGTTTACAATAAAAAAAAAACAACACTGTTGACTTGGTTCTCCGTAAAAAAAACAACACATCAAAAATGCCGTCATCTAATAGACGTACTAGTACTTTCCAAGTACAATTGCCACATACACACACAGCTTGCCTGACTGTGAACTGAGATATATTGAAAACATGGAGAACCTGTGTAACATGCACTGGATAGTGCGTATTGATTGGAGCTCCAGGAAAAATTAATTTCAAATCCCGAGAGCCGTGCGAGGCAGGCCACGGTTTCAGTATTACTGCACTGCTGGAGATTATACACAGGCTGTTAGAATACTGATATGGTTTAAAGTGAAAGATTGGAGAATGGAGGGATTAGTACTTTGATCTTTGTTCAGTCACAAACATTCTCTCTCTCTTTTCCTCTCTCTCTCTCTCCCCACAAACAGAAATAAATTTATAGAAAGCTGGTATTTCAGTGATAAATAAAAAGCATTTTGTCAAAATGCACGTGATTAAATAATGACTTCACAGCTTAAAATTGTCCCCCATGTGAGCCAACTATCTTTGTGAAAATAAAAAAAAGTTAGAATGACTGAAGACAAAAGCTGAGACTTAGGTTGAAGCCGATCTTGGTACCTTAGCCATATTTCAGAGGGTTAGTTATTTCTGACTGCTAGTGTCACCAATTGCAAGTTGCCTGTAGCCAGTTTCAGAAAACTACTTTAGTCTGAAAAATTGGTCTAAACTTTTAAACAAAAAATTGGTCTGTTTTAGTTCTTCAGGTCAAGAAAATTTCAGAGTAGCTCACATAAATAAGGTAAGTACTTGTCCGAAACATTAGGTACATCTGTTTTTTATATAATATAAAAACAGGTGTGATATTTAATTTAAAGATACTCTTTTACAGAATACCTCTAATTAGGACTTTGTCTTACTTCTAAATGTTTTGACCAATATTTTTAGACTTAAGTTCCTTACATGTAAAACAGCCACCTGCCTTTTCACATTTAACAACCTAGGCTTAGCCTATTAAGCCTATTAATTAAAATTCTTATAATTGAAGTGCAGCCAGCCATTGAGACTGCCACCAGTTTTTATTACAGATCTGCATCAATCTCAAAAACAATAGTTGGAAAAATTTCATCTCTGTATAAAGTCTTGCCCCTACCCCCCCCCCCCAACACATAAAATACTGACTGTACTGACCTGTGCTGACACCTAGGGAAGTGTCCACCGCAGTGGCTATCTGTGGGGCTGTAATGACCACCCTCTGGTCAACCACATGATACTGACCGCTGCCGCTGGTGTGATTCATGGTGTCCAGCGTCTGGAACTGACCGCCTCGCCTGTTCACAACAGCAGTGTCCAGTTGACGGAACTGACCAGTACCACCTCCAATCTCTAGAGGCCGGAGATGTTGACCGGTGTTAGTCCCTGCGTCCAAAGTCTGAAACTGACCAGTGGCCGTATTCCCCCCGGGGTCTAGCTGGGGCGGGAACTGGCCTAACTGCCCACTATGGTTCATTTCAACTCAGTAAGAGAACGTGTGCAAGGCTGTTTGGGCTCCTGGCGTCATTGTAACTGTAAAATAAATCAATAAACAAAGCTATAAATACGTATCATGTATGGCTTCATTGTTTGTCGTGATATTGTGTTCTTTTCAGCTCAAAGTGCAGTGTAGAGATCAATTCAAGATGGTAGTTATGATTTTTTAAAACCCCTGTCTAGCTTCTTCGATTATCTCATAACAGAAATCTTTCAGCTCGTATTTATTTCCATCTAGATAGTTAAATTACCAACATTAGCACCAGGAGAAGCTGATAAAAATACAATGGTGCATTAAAGTCAATCATGAATTAGAATTTAAGGTGCTGAAAATGACTTACTACTGAAATACATAGACTACTTTCTATTAATGGAGGATCAAGTAAATGTGCTTGTAGCTGACTGTGTAAGATGTAGCACTTTTCTCACAATTAACATATTAATATATATTTGATAATTGCATTGCCTCAAAATCTCTACAGCACAATGGAGAAATATTGACAGCTTTCTGATACAGATGTTTTAAAATGATTTTTTTTCCATGTAACATGCCACAATCTGTTATTCATGAATTGGGACATGCTTTTACTCAAAATGAAAGATCCTGAAATGATTGGCATGTTACTGCATTTCAAGGAACATTTGGCAATGAAAAGTCAAATTCTGGCAAGAAAACAAATTCTAGCTCACCTCAAAATTCTAAAATGCCTGGTACATTGCACAGTGCAAAGCTCACTTGGCTGTTAAAAGGTGATGTTTGGCTTCAAAACAAGAATTAACACAAGTGAATTCTTCTAATGAGATGTAATTTGCAACAATGCAGCTCTTGAGAAAACCAGGCTCATTAATATTTTTATCCCACCTTACCTTTCTTCGCAGGTCTNATGAGTGTAACAATATGAAGTGTCTCAGTCTATTAGTGGCCAGTTCCTGGCAGAGACTGCTCATATCACAGTAGCTTCCATTTTCACAAAATCGCTTTCACATAGGCTTTGAACATCATGGCTCCATTGCATTGACATGGACTGCAATCTTAATTCCCAATTCACCCCCAGCTAATATGATATCAAACTAGGGGATCAGAAAGGCAATACCACCTCTGGATATTGTACCACCATCTTAGACTGCATTCCCACAGGGGTTCATGCTAAATTGCTGTCAGCCGAGCGCGCACGGAAGTTAATTACCCCCTTACAGCTTTTAGTAGGTGGGACAGTAGTGAGACTCCCCACGAGGATAGATTGATCTAAAAATGTGTGGGAATGCAGTCCAAGTCATAATTTTGCTGCAAAAAGTAAAATTATGCCTTTACGTCAATTTTCAAGTGACAATTCACTAGTTACTCGTCTTTTCAATTTTACAGACTATATTTCAGAAGCTGCTGCCCCAGCCATTCTATCCACACTGTGGATTTCACTGCCCAGTTGTGTGTGGTGATGACCTGATATCGTTTCCATGGTCTCATCCTCACTCGGACGCACAGACCTTAGGAAAAGTGCTACCACGGTAAAAGTTGCAGCATTTACTGGAAAGGCCCTTAGAAGAGTAGAGTTAAGCCCAGTCCATAAGCACCCTAGCCCTTCAGCTTTAATAGATTTTTGGAAACAGTCATAAGCATTCTTGTACTGATTTGGACCATTTGCTCCATCAGCTTGTATCCGAGACTTGATAACATCAACAGGGTAAGTAACAATCCATGCAGCCATGCCACTGCAGCCCCCTGCCACTAACAACCCTAACATACTCACATCATCATCAGGTTGCTCTACCATCTGTCTACACAAATACTCATAAGTAGCAAAATAAACTCCAAAACTGGGTGTTTCTCTCACAACGGTAAGATTAAACCCTTTAAACACCCCAGGAATCCCATGTGCTTTGTAGATCTTCCTCAGGCAATCAATTGGGCCAGTATACAAATGTTTTGTGGTTTTGAACTGTGTTCTTGATTCACCCTTCCCTTGAATCTGCATCCTTGTTTTGGCCAGTTCCATGGGACTGCACACTACACACTGTACAAGGCCAGCTGTAGCCCCTGCCAAGAAGTGGCTCTGTAGTGTATCTGGATTGGTCATTCTTCTCTGAACATTTCCTTGGACTCCAAAGACTATGGCATTGATAAGTGCTAGTCCGTAAAGTGGAGAAGCCATCCCCTTGTATAATCCAAGTGCCTAAAACATAGAATGGCTTGCAAATTGCAATAACATAAAGTCAATCATGGCAAAACTCTAAAGGCACTGCTGAAAATTGGTACCAGCTGAAATCAGTGTTACTGGTCCAGTCTAGATGTTGGGTCAAATAGTTTTTCACGACATATCATATATAATAATGCATTAATTTTAACTTTGATTGTAGTGAATAAAACCATCTTTTCACAAATATATATTAGTACAACTTCGACTAAAGATTTAATATAAAGTCTAACTTAATAAACCTGTGTTTGTAAAAAATCATGAATATACTTAAATAGAAAATTATTTGGGCAAATGTGGTTTTGACAAATATTGCAGGTTTATTGCTATTTGGTTTGATATATGCATGAATTTTATCAAAACTGTTGGCTTGACCTCATAAGTAAATAAAGGTATGGCAGGGCTGGAGCAAATGTGACCCAAATATTTGATTGCACAGTCCACATCGAATCTTCCCCCTGACCACAGGGGCCACAAGTTATCTCTACCAAAATTACTGTATTGATTGAAATGGTCAAGGGGAATGCATTCCTCATCAGTGATACCCTATGTAATCCTATGTGAAAGCAATTTCACACATTAAAGTGTTGAGAAGCACATATCTATATCCATGTTAGGTAATGTATTAACAACTGTTTAGGTCAAGCATGGACCCAATAATTATCTTCTTCTGTTGTTGAGCTCTGTTTCAGGGGCAGGTAGGTGTAAGGTAGTAACATATTCAGAACAAATGATCAGCGGACTTAATATATGGAGGACCTCACTTAAAAGAAAAGCTGCCTGATCCCCCGATGATCTCCCTGCATCCACACACACACCATCCCTGCCAAGGCCTAGGAATTAAACCCCGATGCTGAAATTTAATCCATGTGGTGGTGGAGAGACCATCAGGAAATTAGGTGGCTCTGCTTTTAAGTGGGGCCGGACACATTTAGTCTGCAGATCAGTAAGTCTGCAGATCATCTCCCAGTTCAGATCTTATTTAAAGTTGATGTGTATGCTTCTGTAGTGTTAAAAATTTCACAGGTTAATTATCAAGATTAACTTACAGATTCTTTTGCTATGATGGTCCTGAAGCATCCAAATGTCCCTTTATAAAGGCGTTTTGCTGGGTCTTGTGTTTGCAGCCGTACCTGAAATAAAAAATTTTAAAAGCAACTCTTATCCAGACCAGACTGGATACTTGTTTTTAGTTATTAAGTATTGAAGATCATTATATCTACAAGCCTGGGTGAACCTGTGACATTGGGGCCATTCAGAATAGAGCATGCTCACTAACTAATCTGCCGAATAAATATGGCTGACCCCACTTCAAAAGCGATTCCACTGATTCCTGATGGTCTCTCCACCTTCACGTGCACTAGTGCTATTAAACGGATTACATCTTGGCTTCGATGGTTTACTTGTTAGGCCCCTGCATTGACGGCATGTATAGAGGCTGGGAGACCATCATGGAATTAGCAGCATCGCTTTTGAAGTAGAGTCAGCCACATTTAGTCGGCGGATCACTTAATTAGTACTTGGATCATCTATTCTGAATGGTAGAATCCAGATTCATACTTGTTATTACTATAGGTATGATATACTTTCATTCTTATAGAAACTTCAACCCCAAAACAAACTTGACTTCAAAAATGAAACACAAATAGGCTGACAGACAGATAGACAAGACACTGACTAGCAAGCAACTTCATAATTATCATTCTGGTAATTATGTCAACATCAAAGGAAATACAACCATTTCATGCTCCAGTTATAGAAAACCTTGACACAATGACAGTGTTTTCCAAACATAACATTTGCTAGACTCTCATAATCCACAAAGGAATACTACTTTCAATAATGGCTAATTCTCATCACATTCTAGAGTATTTAGATTAAAGTCTTGGTGCAGTTTCATAATACACAGGGGCGGATCTATTTGAAGGGGGGGGGGGTCAGTGGATGCCAACCCTCCCCCCCCCCTTCCACACACATGCACACACACAACCACACACACACACTTGGCAAAGGTTTGGGGCACTCCGAAGGGCCCTGAAAAATTTTGGTATTTTAGAGGGCAAACGGTGCCATTTGGTACAGTATAGAACTATGATTCAGCTAGTCAAAATTCTAATTTTTATCTAATTTCAAGATGGGCCGGACCAGAAATCGAAGGGAGCAGGGCCCCCCCGACCC